GCGAATGTTTCATCATAATCAATCCCTTCTTCCAGGAGGTAGCCATTGGCAACAAGCCTGGCTTTGTTCCTTATTACGTTGCCATCTTTGTCCTTCTTGTTCCGGAAGACCCATTTGGTGCCTATGGCCGTCTTCTCTTTGGGTAGAGGCATAAGGGACCATACTTTGTTTCGTTCAAACTGGAGTAATTCTTCTTGCATTGTGTCTATCCAGTTTGGATCTTATAGGGCTTCTGAAATCTTCTTAGGTTTTATCATGCTCAGAAAGTTGGCGAAGAGGCATTCATTTGCTGTGGTAGATCTTGTCTTGACACCAGAGATTGGATCACCAATGATTTGGTGGTGTGGATGATCTTTTATCCACTTGGTGCTTGATTGAGGTTCTGGAGCAACAGGATACAGCTCTTCATCGACTGATGGAACTGCTTGCTCCCCCTCGACGAGATCATCTCCAGAGTTAGATTCTGGATCTTGATCATGATCTGAAGACACAGAAGAAGTAGATGGTGAAGTAACATGAGTTTCTGTAAGAGTTGTACCTTTAGCATTGTAGACTTCATGATCTTCATCGATTCTGGTGTTAGATTTTGCAGTGGGCACATTTCCAGAGATTACTTCTTCATCGAAGATGTCTTCAAATAATTGAGCTAGGTCCGATTCATTGGGTTTGCCAAGTGATGAATCAGATGCTCTTCTTTGAAGTCTGAGTTCTGAACTGTTGTGTTCAGAAGTCATAGTTGTGGAATCATCAAAGGACACATTGATGCTTTCGATGACGATCTTTGTCCTTTTGATGTAGAGTCTGTAGGCTTTGGTGGTTTTAGAGTAGCCCAGAAATATTCCTTCATCAGCTTTCTTGTCAAACTTGCCAAGATATTCTCTATCGTTGAGTACAAAGCATTTGCAYCCAAAGATATGAAAATATTTGACATTTGGTCTTCTGTGGTTGATGAGCTCATAAGGTGTCTTCTGGTGTCCCTTGTTAATGATTGATCAATTTTGGGTGAAGCACGCAGTTGAAATAGCTTCAGGCCAAAATGTGATGGGTAACTCCGATGAAGCAAGCATGGTCCTTGCTGCTTCCACTAAGGTTTGGTTCCTTCGTTCTACCACTCCATTTTGTTGTGGAGTTCTTCCAGATGAGAAGTTTTGTGTAATGCCTTCACCGAAGAGATAGTCATCAATTTTAGCATTTTTGAATTCAGTTCCATTGTCGCTTCTAACCTTCACTAGTTTTTKTTGTAGAAGGACTTGAAGCCTTTTCATCACTCCAATGAGTAGGTCTGGAACGTCTTATTTCTTCTTTACAAATTCAACCCAAGTGTATTTGGAGTATTCATCGACCAATACTAGCATATACTTCTTTCCAGAGAGACTTTGGGTTGATATAGGCCCACAAAGGTCTATATGAATCATGTCCAAGGGCTTGGTGCAGGAGGTTTCTGACTTGGTTTTATGTGAGGCCCGTTTTAACTTTCCCATCTCACAGGTTGAGCAAAGACGATTTTTTTCGAATTTGAGATTCGGAATTCCCTTGACCAACTTCTGTGTGGCTAGTTTTCGTAGTGCATCAAAGTTGAGGTGTGAGAATTTCTGATGCCATAGCCAATTTTCATCGCTCTTATGGGAAACAAGACAAAGGGTGTCATGTCCCATTGAGGACTCAAAATATAGAAGATAGAGATTTCCTTCTCTCTTTGCTTTGATGATTGTTTGTACGGGCATCGTTTCTATTATGCAGAAACCTTTGCGAAACCTGACTTCAAGACCCTTGTCGCAGAACTGACTTATGCTTAATAGGTTGTGCTTCAATCTTTCGACATAAGCCACTTTGCTGATGGAGATGTTGCCTTTGATGAGAGTGCCATATCCTTTGATAGTGCCCTTGCTGTTATCTCCAAAAGTCACAGATCCTCTAGATTTTTCGATGAAGGAGGACCGTTGACTTTTATCATCAGTCATGTGCCTGCAGCAACCGGAGTCCATATACCATGGTTGCACATGCTGGTCCTGCAAGACAAATTAAGGGGTTTTAGGTACCCATTTCATAATGGGTCCTCGTTTGTTAGTAGGGAATTTCACACTCTTTTCATTGCCCTTAGCCTTTGCAGTATTTGCCTTTCCCTTTCCCTTGGGTTTGGGCTTTTTCATGTTTTCATCGGTTTTAACTTTGTATCGATAGACATGTTGTGAAAAGGGACAGTGATGTGTCAACATGTGATTCCTCAGATTTTGCAAAATAGTTAAACATTGACAATGATGATGCTTTGGATTTGTATGTCTAACGTTCTTTTTATTCGATGTAAACAAAGAAGTAAATTTAGGTGTAAATCTTGTCCTAGCATCCGTTGTTTTTACAAACTTCCTATCTAGTTTAGATTTTTTATTTGAAAAGGTCTTTGGCTTTACTTCTTTTCTCCTGAGGAGGGTATGCTTTTCTTCAGCTGGATGGAAAGAAAAGTGGTGATTAATACTCTCAGAGGCAGGCCACTTCTTCAACTGTTTTTGCTCTGATACCAAATGTTGATCCCAGATCTCTCAATAACACTAATAATCTAGTTCATAATAACCAAATTATAGTGATTTGATGAACAAAGTGATGAATACTCAAGAAGAAATTATGAACATATATGAACAATCTTGAGCGTCAAAGATTTCACTTTATTAATAATAAAAACGTAAAAGCGACTTAGATTACAATAGGCCTAATCACCTATTTATACTAATAAGAATATAACTATCTAATTGAGACTTTTTAGCTAATCATCTAATAACAGATAACGATTATCTAAACTATGGATAAACTTTAGTAATTAAGATAAACTCGAAATCTAGCTGTTGACTTGTCATCTCAAGCTGTCATTCATGGTATGATGGATCATCCTTATCTTTAAGTCTTCATCGCATGCTTCTGGATGAATTGCTGGAAAATACTCTAACTGTAGTTGACTAGAGGTTCGATGAAGATGCTCTTTCTATCGCATCTTTGGTCGTCCATCGGTCCTCTGGTTGTGCTCCAGACTTAGTCAATTCTGCCTTGATGTCTCCATCGGTCTTCTGGTTCTTCATCACTTATTGTTTTTCATTACTTTTTCACTTTATGAATTATGGGGTTTAACAGTTTGATTAATTACATCAATATTAGTCCCCATTATTAACATATCATCCACATATAGACATATGATGACATAAGCATTCTTAAACTGTTTAACATATACACATTTATCACATTCTTTGATATAAAAAACCTTGTGATAAGAGTTTGTTATCAAACTTCTTGTGCCATTGCTTTGGAGCTTGTTTAAGTCCGTATAGGGACTTAACCAGTTTACAGACTTTATGTTCTTGACCTTAACAACAAACCCTTTGGGTTGTTGCATGTAGATTTCTTCATCTAATTCATCATTCAAGAAAGCAGTTTTCACATCCATTTGGTGAATTTCCAAATTATGAATCGATGCTATTGCTATCAAAGTCCTAATTGAAGTGATTCTAGTCACCAGCGAATAGGTGTCAAAGAAATCATGACCCTCTCTTTGACAATACCCTTTGGCTATGAAATGAGCCTTGTACTTTTCTATAGTACCGTCAGGTCTAAGCTTTTTCTTAAAAATTCATTTATGGCCAATTGGTTTATGTCCCGGAGGGAGATCTACCAATTTCCAAGTGTTATTTTGTAAAATTGATCCTATTTCGCTTTGGATTGCCTCTTTCCAATAAGGAGCTTCCGAAGAATCCATAGCTGCCTTTTAAGTAAGAGGTTCTCCTTGTACATTAAAGGTCACATAGTCTGGTCCAAAGTGAATTGCAACTTTTCCACATTTACTTCTCCGAGGTTCTACATCATGTTGAACTTGAGAGGTACCTTCATCTCTTAGAATAGTACTTTGGTCTAACTCATTGTGAGGTTCATCGTTTTCATTCCCTCTTTTCCTTGGATTAGAGATTCTCTTCTCCTTATCCTAATATGGGAATATGTCTTCAAAGAATTCTGCTTCCGCAGATTCAATTATGGTATTTGTGTGAATATCCTCTACTTGGGACTTGTATACCAAGAATTTGTAAGATGCACTATTCTTGGCAGGGTCAAGATAGATGCAATCCACAGTCTTTGGTCCTAATTTGGTCCTTTTAGGTAGAGGTATTTGTACTTTGGCTAAGCAACCCCACACTTTCATCCTTTTGTAGGAAGGCAATTGGCCTTTCCATAGTTTGTAGGGAGATTGACTACTTTTCTTATGTGGAATCTTATTTGATATCATGTTTGCAGTCAATCAAGCTTCACCCCATAGATTATGAAGAGCCCTAGAAGTGATCAACATTGAGTTGATCATATTCTTCAAAGTTCTGTTTTTCCGCTCGGCTACCCCATTTTGTTGAGGGGTATATGGAGTCGTTGTTTGATGTACAATACCATGTAAAGAACAAAATTCAGCAAAGTCATGAGATTCATACTCTCCTCCTCGATTAGACCTTAGAATTTTAATCCTCTTTTCAAGTTGATATTCAACTTCGGCTTTATAGATTTTAAACATGTTTAAAGCCTCGTCTTTGGTGTTTATCAAATAAATATAACAGAACTTACTGCAATCATCAATAAATGAGATACAGTAGTTCTTTCCCCCTAGAGTTGGAGTTGACTTAAAATCACACAAATCGGTATGTATTAGACCAAGCACTTGGTTAGATTTTTCGACAGATTTGTGGGGATGACTTGAGTATTATGATTCTACACAAGTCTTACATTTAGTCATTTTATTCATCGAACACTTAGGTAACATGCCAAGATTCATCATCCGTTGTAAGGACCGGAAATTGACATGACCTAACCGAGTATGCCACAAATTAGAGGAGTCAACCATATAAGTAGAAGCAGCGCTACAGCTTGCGGTTTTATTCATATTTACATCAATATTTGTGATATTTACAATGGACAACTTAAAGAGCCCCTCAGACAGGTTGCCCTTACCCACATACACCCCACCCTTAGTGACTACAAATTTATCCGACTCGAATACAATTTTTAAATCCTTTATTGCTCAACATAGGACCCGATATCAGATTCTTGCTCATATCTGACACATGTAGCACATTGGTGACTTCAAGCACTTTCCCCGATGTTAGCTTCAATATCACTTTCCCTTTACCTTGCACTTTTGCGGTTGTTGAATTCCCCATAAACATTGGTCCACCATCATTGATTTTGACATAGGAAGAGAATAAATCCTTGGAGTTGCATATGTGCCTAGTGGCACCGGTGTCAAGCCACCAATCCACTTCGTTTTTCATGAAGTTCGCTTCAACGACACCTACAAACCTTGTTTCGGAATCTTCCATGTTGGCTTGGTTTGAGCATCCGGCTCTTCCGCTCCCATGATGATCCCTCTTGAGACGGTAATCTCGTGCTTTGTGCTAGGGACGACCGCACACCCAATAATTAGTCATTTGCTTTTTGTGGGTTTGGAGAGGGTTTTTCATGTTTGAGGGAGAAGGTTTAGCGATACCTTTTGCCTTGAACTTCTGAAATTTTGGTTTGGAACTGTTTCCTCCAACGAAATTTGCGTTTGGGTCTATCGAACTTCCATCCGTCTTCTCACTCTTCCTATTGTCATCCTCAACTCGTAGTTTGAGAACCAATTGACCAAAAGACATGTCCTCAGTTAGATGTTTCAAATAGAGTTTGAAATCTCTCCACGAATGAGGCAACTTTTCAATTATCGAACCAACAAGAAAGTTCGGATTGATTCCCACACCTTCGGTGTCGAGTTCATGAACAAGGACTTGTAGTTCTTCCACTTGTTTCACAATAGATTTTGCATCGCTCATCTTGAAGTTCAGGAACTTCCCGACCATAAATCTTTTAGAACATGCCACTTCGGTCTTGTACTTGGTTTCCAACGACTCCCATATTTCTCTTGTCGAGTTAAAGGTAGAGCATATGTGATATAGGGAGTCGTCCAAAGTATTAGGAATATAGTTTCGACAACTATATTCATTACTATTCCAAATCTTGACCACCCTTTGAAAGGCCAACATTTAGATTCGAGTTGGTGCCGTTTGGCCTTCACCGGGATCGGGTGTCGTTGGTGCTTGCTTCGAAAGCACGTTAGACACACGTAATGTAGTGAGATAGAAGAGCATTTTATGTTGCCACCGTCGAAAATCTGAACCCTTGAATTTCTCGGGCTTTACAACGTGGGATTTCAGAATTGTCGATTGATCCATTTTGATTCTTATGTGTAGAAACAAAATTTTATCTTAGATTGTTATGACTAATCGACAAGCAAACAGAAAATAACGAAAACAACAACAAAACTTAAGACCAAAATACTTGAAATTTATGAATCTTGTACCTTATTCGATGATGAACGTAGAATTGAACAAGGATAAGAGGATAGAGGCTTGCGAATTGCAGTGTCCCTAGATGAAATTCCATCCCTATTCGTGCTTGGTACGGACGTCGTCTAGAGGATACAACTACCCGGTTGATTTGGAGGGAAATGACATATATATATATATATATATAGTTGTAGCCAGATGGTCACGAGACCCCAAGAGCCCCAAGGTCCAAGGCCCTATCTTTGACCATCAATATATATATGCCAAGCTAAAGCCCAATCCAAGGCTTTAATTCATTTTGATAAGGCTTATGATCTTAGCCTTATAAACCGTTCCCTTTTCCCCTTTCTTTCCTATGTGGGATCAATTCCTATGGTAAAAACCCAACATGACCTTGAATCAATGTTCGATCTGGAGAACTCTATCATTGTGTCTATTAGAATCACCCCACTCTTTTGCAATGTACTTTTGTCATCTTGTTTTTTGGTGTAGAATGAGTATCCATTGACCTCATATCCTTGGTATGTTGACACAACATGTACAGAACCATATGCCAAATGTTCAACTAATTGATCAACCTTTTCTCCCCCACAGTTTTGTTTGAGTCTTTCGTTCAGCCAGGTTGCAAATGTCATGTTATGCTCGGTAATGACCCATTTATCATTGATTAATTAATTTCATGCAACATTGCCATGTGCTCATGTATGTAGCAAGAAATTGCAATTAGGTTATGTAACCTAAAAAATAATGTAGGTAACGACCTTTTTATCATTGATTAATTCATTTCATGAAACATTGCCATGTGCTCATGTGTGTAGCGAGAAATTGCAGTCAGGTTCTGTAACCTGAAAAAGATGTAGGTAATGACCGATTTATCATTGATTAATTCATTTCATGCAACATTGCCATGTGCTCATGTATGTAGCGAGAAATTGAAGTCAGGTTCTGTAACCTGAAAAAAAAATGTACATTATGTAATTCAACATATTCTGAAGTGATAAAAAATTTCCAATCGTTAGAAGCCCTTCAATCCTACCTTCATGTCGACATTACGGGATGCCAATATTTTTTACACTGACCGATAGCCTATGCAGAAATCAATCACCTTTTTAAAAGCATATCTTTCAACAATACTACCTTTAGATGAAGATCGGTTATTTACATACCCCTTTAAAAACCCATATATCTCTTGAATGGATACATGTACCATAGGAAGTCAACACCTCAAAACTTTATTCTCCAACAATATTCGACACTAGGTGTACCATCACATTGAAGAAGGATGGTGGAAAGTACATTTCCATTTGGCATAGAGTGATGATAATATCTTTTTGCCATGAATCCAACACCTCTCGATCACTTTTGAATGAATCATGTTAAAAAAACAAGCAAAGCTTTGTAAATTTGTGTCAGATATGGTCTGGTAATATTCCACTGATTGCAATAGGAATCATACATGTCATTAAAACATGAAAATCATGCGACTTCACACCAAGAAATTTCAACTCTTTCATCGACAATAGATCCTTAATGTTCGAAGAATATCCGGATGAAACATTGAAACCATGCAAGCATTGATAGAATCTGGTTTCTCAACCTTCAGCAATGTATAGCAAGATCGTGGCAAGTACGTGTGCTTACCATTATCAACAGGAGCAAGCTCTGATCGGGTCCTTATTTCCACCCTTTCTCTTCAAATTTTCACCCCATCTTTTGATTTTCTCATAATGTTCAACAACAAACGTATCAAGCAGTCATAAAAATTTTCTCAATATACATCACATCAAGACAATATCAAACAATCTGTTGGGTTTTAGTTTGCGAAAATAACCGGATAAAACACAGCGGAAAAATAGAACCCGGTTACAAAAACGTTTAGAATTTTTTTTTTCTAAATAAAACCCAAAGCCGCATCCATTGACAATTAAAATGAATCTACACAAACCATAGGGTGTTTAAAATATTTACCTTGTGGTAGAAATTGAAACTTTGATGTAGCACTAAGAAACCAAATCAGTTTTCCTCTATCGGTTGTCCACACACGAACACGCTTGGAACTCCCACCGGGTGCTAACCCAAAGAATCCTAATTTTATAATCGTATCGTAAGGGTTTTGGGGCTACAACTAGTTATTAGAACTCAATCGTCAACTTTGGTTTAGCCCCTAAGCCTTATTTACATGGTCAGTCTTTGAGATTGACCATAACTTTTAATAAGGCTTATTCATTATCTAAAATTATTATTTATTTATCTAATAATATCTTATATAATTAACTAAAAACATTTAAGATAAGTATATACATATCTATAGATTAAACCCTGTAATTATAATAATCACAAAATGGTACACATGTTTAGATACTTTCTTTAGTGCAAGCATACATGTTCTTTGTGTACGACCCTTTAGGTTTACATGGCTTGTTGGCAGTGTATCTTGGTGACACGTGTCGTGGGTATAACATACAACTTACATTCTCCCACTTACACATGACACATTGTAACACAAACAGTGGTAAGCGTCTAGCAACACGTCACTGCCCCAACGCTATGTAAATGTGCTTTTCTTCTAGAAATTYRATWGATCCAAYCAATCWTATACTGGAGTCATTCATCATCCCTTTGTTTCACGATATTTGAATTGAACTTCTAAGGCATAGATCTTGCTCATCCTTTATAGTTCAAAATTCTATTTCTCGATCCTAACACGTCTTGATTAGACTGGTGCTATTGGTTCAACCAATACATCAGTCCATGGCCATGTTAATCAAATTGTGTTATCGAGGGGCCCAAAATATCTCTCTCATCTTGAAAGGAGCAAATCCCATTTTGCATGTACACGACTTATACACTATCTATGTTATGCCCAACATAGTCCTTATGATCACCCGGTAAAGGGTAACTTTAAACTATATCAAAGCACAACACTTTTCATGCATTGGATACCAATGTACATATTAGGTCTAAGGATAACAAAATTTACTTATTTCAGGACTCACCTTATGACGTCGATCTATGAGGTGATCCTGACCGTGGGTCTTATCCAACACTTGTCCCCGACAAGTGCATGTGACTCTGGTAGCACTCATTGCGCTTCCAACTTGGACTATGACCAAAATTCACAATGACCTTGATTTATTACTAGTCCTCTAGTAATAATTGGTTGAGGACAATTCCAAATAATATGATCATCATTTTATTTAAGGATACTTAAACGTGCAAAAATTGAACACAATAATGTTTAATATAAATACCCATATCCAATATGCCAAATCATATAAAACATAACTGTTTATCGTTCAAATAATTAAAGTCTACTACTAAGATCCATTATACTAATGTATTATAGAACCTCAAGCCTATCGAACTAGTATGAGCATCATGCTTGTTTTGACTCAAAGGCTTGGTGAGAGGATATACTGGATTTTCTTCTGTTCGAACTTTGCATATCTTTACATCACCTCGATCAATATTTTCATGAATCAGGTGACATCTTCTTAGTATATGCTTAGAGTGCTGATGTGACCTTGGTTCTTTTGCTTGAGCTATGGCACCCTAGTTGTCGTAATAGATCTCGACAAATGTCACATATGCTAGGAACTACCCCGAGGTCAGAGATGAATTTTTTCATCCAAACAGCTTCCTTTGCGGCGTATGACTCTGCAATGTACTATGATTCTGTAGTTGAGTCTGCTATAGTGCTCTGTTTGTAGCTCTTCCAACTCACAGCACCTCCGTTTAACACAAACACATATCCCAATTGTGATTTAAAGTCATCACGGTCGGTCTGGAAACTAGCATCTGTGTATCCTTGGATACACAAATCTCTTTCTTCACCTCCATCTTGTAAAAACATATCCTTAGTTCTTCTCCGGTATTTCAGGATATTCTTTACTGCTACCCAATGAGCATCACCTGGGTTTGACTGATATCTGCTCATCATGCTTAAAGCATACAATACGTTCGGTCTAGTATATAGCATGGCATACATTATTGAACTGATGGTTGAAGCATAGGGAACACCCTTCATGCGGTTCATGTCCTCTTTAGTACTAGGACATTGAGTTTTACTCAGTTGTATGCCATGTACCATTGCCAAGTTTCCTCTTTTGGAACCCTCCATCTTGAAGCGTTTCAAGATTTTGTCAATGTATGTATTTTGGCTTAATACAATTGAGCGCTTAGATTTATTACGATAGATCTTTATGCTAAGAATGTATGTTGCCTCTCTTATATATTTCATCGCGAAACATTTCCCTAACCATGTTTTTACTTCCTTAAGTGTTGGGATGTTGTTTCAATGATTAGTATATTATCGACATATAGGATTAGGAATACTATTATGCTCCCACTAACCTTCTTGTATACACAAGGTTCATCTTCGTTTTTTATGAAACCAAATTCCTTGATTTTCTCGTTAAAATGAAGGTTCCAACTACGAGATGCTTGCTTCAATCCATATATAGACTTCTGCAATTTACATACCTTACTAGGATACTTTGCATGTTTAAAACCTTCTGGTTTTACCATGTACACATCCTCGCTTAAGAATTTGTTAAGGAATGTGGTTTTAACATCCATTTGCCATATCTCATAGTCATGATATGTAGCTATGGCAAGTAGGATCCTGATCGATTTCATTATAGCTACTGGAGAAAAGGTTTCATCATAATCTACTCCTTGAGTCTGTGTGAAACCTT